TTAAATTAATAGATTAAATTTTAGTATAAAAATATATTATATTAATTTATACAATATTTTATTACAAAAAATGCATTTGTATAAATATCGTGAAAGTATATCAAACAACGTATTTTTAGGTATCCGTATCCTTGGTACTGGATTGAAACCTGCAAGTCTTGCTGTCGCTGGCGACAATATTTTTTGGGCTGAAGACGGTTCGGACAAAATATTCTGGACAGATTTTAAAAACACCTTTCGTTTAAACCAAAAGAAAATCGCATTCCGTGAGTTCCTTTAACGCTTGTTTAATTATCTAATCTTAGAATGTATATACGCAGGATGGATAGTCAATAAAATTATATCTCTTTAGATGTGCCCAATTTAAATACACTTATGCGGAAGTTTGTGATAACTTTGCGTAAAGATGTTTTGCGTCAGGATCACGATTGTCAGAAAAATAATGGACATTGTTCACACGTGTGTTTGCTTTCCTCTATCACTTCGTTTGTAAGTATGCAAGTTCTATACGTATAGTAATTCATCATGTGTGCCAATTAATTATTCGACGAACGCAATGCAAGCATTTGTATAATTTATACGTTTGCTTTGATCATTTTTTCCACCGTACTATACTATTTGTCGAGGAAATTTAATGTGATGATCAAACTTCCAGACTTGCGCTTGTCCTCCCGGATTGGGGCTGTCATATGACAATCGTACGTGCATTGCGTATGAATGCTCTAGGAACGAATATAAATGCAGGGGACACAACATCTGTATATCAAAGACGAAATTGTACGTTTAATCAATATTTTCACACGTAACTTACAAATACAAAATAATATATTATTAAACTGGAAACGATCAATATACTGACAATTATAACGTTCGGTTGTGACGTATTTTGATGTATATTATTACGCGAATTGATTGAAATCGACTAACTTACTTTGAATCTTAGCATCTTTGTATTTAATATTTTTTGTTTACAAACCCGAGGAATATTTATCGTTCCGTTTCTTTTCGACTCCACACATGACATGAATATTATAAACATCTTTATAATATTCACATTATGGGAATCTTGCAATTTATTTAGGTGCGACGGTATCATACATTGCCCGAACGGTGAAGACGAGACGGTGAACTGCCATGAAAAGCAGAAGTGCAAGGAAGATGATTTCATGTGTAAGAATGGCGAGTGCATCAATTCGAAAGATCGTTGTAACTCGCATTACGATTGTGCCGATCAGTCGGACGAGGAGGACTGCAAACCGAAATATGGTAATTACAGTAAGCGCGTTACATGCATTTTTGTTCTATCTTATCCATTAATTACATTTATTACATTCAATGTTTACGAGCATTGAATGAAATATCTGAACAAACACGTGATCTTTCTCTCCGAAAGCTCTCTGAATTATCGTCTAAACTCATGTGCAGTCGTCCGTTCATTCACGCCAAATGTATATGTTCTTTTTAGATGAATTTCTTTGTCTCGACGGGACTGCCATTCCGAAGACGGTCGTATGTGACGGCGAGGTAGATTGCAATTTTATTGATACTTTATATTTAGCTTAATATTTACTTGCATTATATTTACTTCTTTTTATTCTGTAAAAACAAACGTTAATAACTGTTGTTAATTTAGAGTGCAGTTTTGCAAAGAAAAGCTATCAGAACAAAATAAGTAGAAATTTACATTTTAAGAAATTGTGTCTCTATTTATTTTTCCAAATTAGAATATCTGAGCTTCTTGATTGATTTCTATTTTCTCAATAAGTTAATGTTATTTTATATAACCGCGTTTGTACTTAAGTCCGATTGCATCGATGGAGAGGATGAAGCACCTGAGAGGTGTAAGTCAGATGCGTGCCAACACGAGGAGTTTCGGTGCGACAATGGCAATTGTATATCTTCTTCGTTGAAGTGCGACGGCATCGACGATTGCCATGATGGCAGCGACGAGTGGAATTGCTTAGATACGAAGACAAATTATTCGGTTAATTGCACCGCGGATGAATATAATTGTCTCGGCACTAAATTATGTCTTCCGAAAAAAGCAAGGTGAGTTGATCGTTTTAAAATATAATGGTAACCGGTGAACAATACGCACGGACACGTCAAAAAATGTTACCTTGCACTTTACGTGAAAATTTCTTTTGATTGCGGAATTCACTGCGCAAGCAGATAGTCATAGGCGTTTAGAAGAAATGAATAATCTTAATCAGAAAAATGTGATGTGTTTATCAATTTTTTTCTCTTCCAGATGCAACGGCGTAATTGATTGTATGAGTCACGATGACGAGTTCAATTGTCCGTCCTGCTTCGACTCTGAATTTACTTGCGACAACGGGAAGTGCATTCCGAAGGATTGGGTATGCGATAATCGCGACGATTGCAACGACAATTCGGATGAGGACAATTGCGACGGTCGTAAAAAGATCGTCAAGGAATCCGATGAATGTTATGAATTCAAATGTTCTAACGGCGCTTGTCTGCCGTACAGCAAAACGTGCGACGATATTCGAAACTGCCAGGACGGCAGCGATGAGGACGGGAAATGTAGTATGTATAGTTAATCTTTCTTGGACCGTTAAAACTATATCTGTGTCAAAAATCGCTTTCGGCGAGTTTAGTATCTAGAGTGTTTTTGCCTTTAAAGAACTCGCGGAAATCAATCCTTTTTTCATATAAGTTTATAAAATATACATATATTTTACATTGATGATTTTTTTTTTTAATACGAGACGAATTGAATGCAGGAGATAGAATTCCAGAAAATCGAAATATTGCGCTATTCATGAATGTTGTAATTTTTCTGTGTAGACAATGCCTGTGCGGAGGACAATATTTGTAAAGATATGTGTTACAAAACTCCGAAAGGCGCAGTTTGCGGCTGTCAGATTGGATATCGTTTAGCTGCTGATGCGATTTCTTGCGAGGACATAAACGAATGCAAGGACGACGTTTGCTCGCAAATTTGTAATAATACCGAGGGCTCTTACATGTGTTCGTGCTACGAGGGTTATATTATCCGTAACGACAAAGTTTCTTGCAAAGCTATCGGTAAGTGATCTCAATTGAGTGTTTGTACAAATTATTTAAAACAATAAAAATCATTAATGATTATTTAGGACCGGGAATGGAATTCGTCACCGTTACTGATTATGATATTAGGATGATTTCGTCTAATTTTCACTCAGTTGATAAGATCTTCTCATTATCAAGAATGAGTAAAATCGAACCCGGAGGTCTTGACGTGAACGCAGTCAGCCGCTCTGTCTATTGGAGTAACAGTTAGTGTCATTGTTTCGATGTAATGTATATCGTTAATTATTAATACGCGATGTCTTTTCTTAGAGGACATAAAGACTCTCAGAAAATTCCCAAAAAACAAAAAAAGCTTGAAAGTGTTTTTCAAAGGACATTTGCATTAATTAATTAAATATAGAGGAAAAAAATAATTGCAGGTGAATACGGCACTATTAACAAATTTAGCATTAAAACAGAGGAAATAACCGCATTTGCGATTGTCGAGCGTCCGCACGCACTCGCGGTCGATTGGATTACTGATAATGTCTACGTCTACGATAACAGCCGTCAGAATACGATTAAGGTATATTTTTTCTCAATATAAAATCACACAACAAGAGAATACTTTGATTTAAATATTTATTTAATTAATTGAAGGTATGCAATTTGGAGCAACAACGATGTGTGGCGTTGATCGAGATAAAAGATAAGGAGAAAATAGGGTTTCTTTTAGTTGACGCTGTTAATAGGTATCTCTCTTTCATTCCGCTTGCAGTTTTTCTTATTTTCGTCTGATAGACTTGTCAATCTGATGGACATGTCACTGTCGTCGGAATTCTACAGAATTCAAAATCGAACTCTTGACGTTGTAGATGGCTATTCTGGTCTCAAATGACTTGTCAAATGAGCAAGCAAGCAAAATCGTGTTCCACCATATATCGGACAGATTTGATGGGCGTCGACATGAAGATTATCGGTTCTACTGCAGGATTTGTGACCGGGATAACAATCGATTATATAAGATCTAAATTATATTGGTCGGACGATCTCGGTAAAATCGAATCGTCTAATTTGGATGGAAGCCAACGCAGCACGTTCTTAAATACAGATGTACGTTCTTTATATCAGTTCACTTTTTATAACAAAAATACACGTTAAGAAGTATAAAAATTCAAGCACTTTGGGTGGATAAATTATATTCTTTTCACTAATGAAATAATATTCTTTCTTTTTTTTTTAGTTGCCAGTTTTAGCTATCAGTATTTATGAACAGAAGCTTTATTGGCTGAATCAAAAGGCTCAACTGCAAATTTGTTATCTGTATGGTAAAAAATCTTGCGACACGTTTAATTTTGGAACAAATAATTTTCACAGTCACTTCACCATTCTTCATATCTCAAGACAACCTATCGGTTGGTATAATATAATACTAAAGAATCTTAAGATCAAAATCTCAAATTACGTAAGTGATTAATCTTAACAGTTAAAGTAAAATTTAATTATGTATTTATTTGGTAGCTAAAAATCCTTGTGACGAAGAATCTTGCGACTATATGTGCGTTCTGAAAAAGGATAATGCAACGTGCGTTTGTTCAGATGGTGAACCGATTGGATCCAATAGAACTTGCATGATGAACATGAATAGTGAGCCGAAACTTACAAATCTATCCACAAGTACACGCAGCGCAAGTGGCGTTTATAGCATAACAATTATCGTATTGCTTGTTGGTGTTCTATTATTATGCGTTTACTACTATTATCAGAAAACCAGATTAAAATTGAAATCAACCAATGATCTTAGGTACGTCTCAAATTTGTTTTAATGTTAGATTTAGGAATGGAAAGTGATCTTTAAAGTAATACATATAAATATTATTTGCATAAAAAATTGTACAATGATGTGTAACAGTTACAGCAACATTCGCTTCCAAAATCCGTCGTACGATCGAAGAGACGAGGTTGAGGTAACACTCAACTCGGTATCTTCAGAATTGGCTCCTGGACAGCACGAATATGTTAATCCTATCGATGATAAAGTCTTAAGGATGAAGGTAAAGAGTAATTTTGTATTTGAATACACATTATTTTTTATAACTATGTCGTATGTAACTATATTTATTTAATTACAATATACAGCATATTTAAATTGTTGTGCAATCACGCGGAATATACGTGATTGCACACAATTGATTATGACTGAGGATAATTTACGCAGCTATCTAGATACAATAAATTATTTCAGGTTTAAATATTCAGCATTTTTTTTGTAGGCCGCGACGGAAAGTAGACGGAAATCAGATCAATATCCGGAGGAAAAGGATGCCGAAGAAACGGAGAAGCAAGATGCGTCATTGATTTATTTCTTCCAATCAAAGTAATTTAACTATAATAAAAAAATATTTAAAAAATTACAATTAAAAAAATCTAAACGGCTGATCACGTTAATGCGTGAAACATTATTGAAATTATTAGTTAAGAAATTTTTTAAGTGACGGTAGAAAATTTCTTAATGTTTATTAGTATAAATATCATAACGTTATTGGTAAATGTGCCTATAAATGCAATGTATATATATAGATATAGGTATACCATTACCTGCGGTAACTTAATTGTTGTACGATATATCAATTGTAGGTTACGATATGTATAGTCATATTCTATTTTAAACGCGAATATTTTCTAATCTACGCGTTATTTTACTGTGAATAAATAATGAAAATATGGCTATACAAAATATTGTTATGTAAAATATATTTGGTCTCGTGGTCACTTGTATTCTATTTTAAATTTGCAGCAGGTTCAAGCATGATGAAATCTAATTATATGATAATTATAATATTAATATATTTAGCTACGGGCTATAGAAAAATTTGTACATACATTGATTTATCTTAATATCAATATTTATATCAACATTATGTATATTCTCTTACATGAATTATTCATTATATTATTAGTGTATTATCTGTTGTAATACACATCGTAGAATATAATATCGTTTTTACAATTTTGTAAAATGTAATGCACTGTAAAATAAAATGCCCAATAAGATTTTTAGATTGATAATAAAGTTAGTTTTTTTATACACATTAAATATGTTAAAATTCTTCTGTATTTTGTATTGTGTTGCTCATTATTATCTTAAATTATGATCATGTAAATTGCATTTTTGAGATATTATTTATTACACAAAGTCTTTTACACTTCCTGCCATAATCATTTTACGTAGATTATTATTTATGGTTGCGCCACTTACTACAGTGACAAATTGATTTAACTTACAATATAATTTTATTAATATAACAGAAAAAACTGAAATTATAATTACACAATACTAATATAAAGACATTTAACAGATTGCGAGAAAATTACTTACATTTCTTCTATTTTTTCTGACTTCTGGAGTGTAAATCCTCGCGCGGCGTATATATCGGCGTTACGCGATATCACTATTTATTTCCCCAAGAGACTATAGAGTGTGAATATTGCACATTGGAGACGCTCATCAATATTACTCGTAACAATATTGTACGTAGCAGATGTACGTAATGATGTACAGGATATCCATGACAGACACCATAACGTTTATCTTATAACTAAGTACACAGATGCCACCGGAACTCTTATTTACTTGATGGACATTCCGATCAATATGTTCCGCAAAAAATTGTCTCGCCTGTCATTCGTTCGCGTCGATCCGTTACGAGGTACGACATGCGAGATAATCTATTATTATTTTAATTATATATTATTATTTTAATAAAGGTTTCCAACATATGCAGTACTTACACTCGCTAAAATATTAATTTCTCCCTCAGAACTGGACAAGAAATTCAGTTAACTGTGTGCCACCGAAGGCGACACATTGCTTTGAAAATTATGAAGTACTCGTGGAATCGCTACTACAGCCTTCTACAGAGGATGTTGTCACTCGCCGGGCAATGGCCTTATCAAGAAAGAAGAACAAGATTGTTCCGAGTGGGCTTAATAACTGTGGCCATTTTTTCGATGATCGTTCCACAGGTTTGAGACAAGTTTCATTTTTACGCATTATAGTACTAGTTCTAAATCTAATAATCAATAGAGTGCGCACATTTACAAAAAGTTAATTAGAATAATTAATTTATTATACAATGCTGTCTATATTTGTTAGACTCTCTTTGGGCGATACATAATTCGACAAAATTTAGAATATAATTTTGTTCAAAAAATTTATAATACACAAAAATATAAAATATGTGTTTATAAATACATATGTATTTTAAAATCCATGGCATATAAAATTATTAACAGAATGTCCTGTAATTGATTACAAATATAGACCGTTTAAGATTGGATTTAATGATATTCCTAGATAGGCAAATTTATTCAATGCGACGGAGATATGCGATGTGTTTTATTGACCGTACCAACAGTATTTTTGGTGCTTATATTTCTGGTGAAGCTGTACGCGTGCCATTTGAACAATAGCAAAGTACGCCATATCAAAATTTTTATGATACATTCATGGCCACGTTCAGCAGACAGTCCCAATCAGTGAGCGCTCAGTGATTCTTTGTTACGATTGGTTTATTCACTCAGATCCAGAGATCGGAAGAGCACACGTC